GAGCCAGAGCCCTGCGTGGGTGGGTGGGGGGGCGGGTCCCCTCCTGGCTGCAAATTCGGCCCAATCAGCTCCGCCCGCGGTTGGAAATGGCTCGCGCCAGCCCACCCGCCCTGGTGTCCGAAAGTTACGCCGGGGAGACAAGCCAGCTGCAAAAGGCAGCTGGAGAGGAGGGAGCAGCCCCACGAGGCTGTCTCCGAAATAACTCCCGGAGTCCAAGGAGCGCTGGGCTGCTGAAGTTTTGCGGCCCCTCCGGCCCTGCGCCGCGCCCTGCAGAGCCACCTGATTTGGGGAAGGAGGCAGGCAGCGCTGCCCGACTACCATCTAGCTGACTTGACAACAATTACTAAAGTTTTTAATTAGCTTCTTGTTATCATTTATTTTATTAATTTCCAGAACTCTCAGGCCATGAATTATTCAAAAAGCAAGCCACCCCGAGTGGGGCGGCCGCTTGCCTTCGCCGCACGTGCCCTGCCCGGCCCTGGCCGCGCCGCTCGCCGGCTGCCCCGTGAGCCAGCCCCGCGCAGGCGGCCGCCGTGGCGCGAAGGTTTGATCAAACATTAAATCACGTAATTATTGCGACAAGGCTTATCTCGCAAGTGGAAAAGAGGCCCCTGTGAGAATTAGAATTCGGCTGCTATTTTTAAAAAATCAATTAAGCTTGCGGTCTTCTAGGAAGCAGCCCGAGAGGACCGTGTGGCTCTCACCGTGGGGCCAGGATTGCAGCGGCAATGACACCAGTGGCTACACGGTGCCAGTAATAATTGTGGTCATCACCTTTACTGTCCCGCTGGCCACCAAGGCCGTTGAAACCAGGCCGGGAAAGCTAGCTTTAGCCAGGATCGGAAGCTTCACTTCCAACTTCCCCGACAAAACTATGAAAGCCTATCAACGTGACAGATGAGTAGGGATGCTTCACGCGGGTGCAATCGCGAGAGGCCCAGACCGGGACGTCGAGGCTGCAGGGGCGACAGGGGCGACAGGGGCAGCAGGGGCAGCAGGGGCGGGAGGCGGGGCCGGCCAAGCCGAGTGAGTCCTCCGCACTCCTTGGCTACGCGTGGAAATCGGACGAAGTGGTCCTAGTATCACAAGAAAGTAAAAATCGATACAATCACGGCAGTGGGTGCCTACACTTTATTTACGAGAGTGTAGCCGAAGTTGAGAGCAATTTCAGAGCACGGAATTAAACAAAAATCTATTCAGAAGCCAGTCGATGGGTTTTGAGAACATCATCTGACCTACAGAAGGAGCGGGACCCTGAGCTAGGACCCAGGAAAGAGAAAATTTAAATAGATGGCATAAATGTGGCAGATGCATTTATTAATGCTTATTTTTCTTTTGCCTTTCTTACTTCGCCGCCGTCTGGGTTTCCTGAGAAGCTGAAATGCAAACAGAGCCCAATTCTCCCACTCTCTTAAGCTTATTTTGAGGTTATTCTTTAGAAAACTCCAAGCCACACATGTTGTCATTTCCACCCACTGACGGGTTCAGGAATCCGTTTAGAGTGAAGTTCCGCTCTTCAGAACCAGAAAACTTTGAAAGGCCAAACTATCCAACTATCTCTGAGTAGCAAGCCTTTACACTCTCTTCAGGAGGACATTTTGTTGTTGTTGTTTGTTCTTCCCTGGGTTGACAGTTAAAGGCGTCTTAGAATAATTTTATTATTCCATCCAGCCATATACAGATTCATTCACCAGAAAGCAAAGCATGTTTTTGTTTTGCACAGTTTCCTACTACATAAAATAGGAAACTCGGCAAACCATGTATTTTCATGATCTGTTTTATTAACATAATAGTTATCTTTTTATTTGGTAAAGATTTGACTTAATATAAAACAAATGCTTAAGTTCTTAATACATACATTGATCATCATTATATAATACAAATGTATTTGCCTGCAACATTTCCTTTTGGGGCAGACTTTAGGAAGAAAACCAAAAACCTTTGTACATCTTTTCATTTGTTCATTCCTGGTTCTCCAACAATGAAATCTGATCATACTTTTCTATAAAATAACGTGATTTTTTTACAAATGCATTTTATTTAAAACTTTGATGATATTGCAAGTCAATAACAACAGAAACAAATCAATTTTAATGGAAGAGATCTATTTTTAAAAATACTTCTAGTGCTTTTTTTTAAACATTAACAACTGTTTAAAATCACAGCTTTTAAAATGTACTATTTTTTTTTTTGAACATCAAGGGTTTTGTTTCACAGATTTGCCGGCGAAATTAAAAAGATTTGGCTAAAATAGGATGACTTCAGAAGATATAATTACAGCTATTAAGAAACTTTGTACATTTGGCATCTGATCTAGTCCCAAGTCACCAAGAAATAGAGAATCTCTGGTCACTCTGGAGCAGTAGGTGGCACACTAAATGTTCCAAATGAACAGAAGCATTTGAGAAGGTATCTGGATAGATCAAGTGGATGTTTTTTAAAAATTTATTAACCTCCAAAGAAAAGTCACTTAGTTATAGTATTTTAGAAGTGTTTTTGGGCTAAACCATCACACACAAACCTCCAAATGCCTCTGTCCCTGAACCTCAGTTTAAATGATTTTCCGGTGCCTGGTTTTGTATTACCTTTCACCACTCTGAGTGCTGTGGTTTAAGAGTTTCTACAGTTAAAAAAAAAAAAAAAAAACTTTTATAAACACAGGCTACTAATGTAGAATTCATTTTATTCAGAGCACCACTTTTCACATGAGTTATCTGAAAGCAAATTCTGATTCAGAAAAAAAAAATACATCATTCTTATCCTTTTCCCTCATTTCATCCCCCTTTCAAATCCTCACCCATTTTTTTTTCTTTTTTGTTTGTTTGGGTTTTTGTTGTTGTTAGATTAAGTCTTATTTGCTGAACGGCTCTACCAGGACAAGGTCCAGTAAAAACACAAAAATGCACCCAAATCATAAAACTGCTCTTCTTTCAGTTATGTTTTATTTGTAAGTGTACTGGGACACATCCCCCTGTTGTATTTTGGCGCACAGAAATGGTTCTGATAGAAGTGGGGGAGGAGGAAGGTTAAAGAGAAAAGACATAACCAAGGAGAAAGCTCAGCAGACATACATGGACAGGTAGATCAATCCGTGAGACATTTTAGGATTAACACTGGCAGTTTGTAACCACTGTGTGAGTGTGTGCATTAAATAAAATATTTACAATAATCTTCCTTTTTTTTCCTTTTCCTCTAAATACAAGAATATGACAAAAATGTTGTGTTTTCGGTGGAAACAGGCAGTAGACTGTGAAATCACACTATCCACAAAACGGTCTACCAGAAAGCTAGTCCAGTTTAGTAGTGCTCAGTTTCAAATGCATAGACTGTTTGCCCTGCAAACAATGATATACAACGTAATTAAATAAATAATGCCTAACCAGAGTGAGACCTAATTGTGTTTCTTTCCACAGTTTCAGATCATGCATGATTTCAGTCTTGTTAAACGACAGGTTTGTTTTCTCATTTGTTCTGTTTTCAATGCTTAGTTATGATTAAAGGATGGTAACAAACCATCTCCACATGAGATCCAAAGAGTATCTTGTGCACAAAGCAGGCATTTTACCTAACCACCTTCAACTGTCTTTCTCATTTATTTTAATCCATCAGCAGCTCGTAAGGTACCTTGATTATTACTATGAGATACTATACATAATTTTCTATTTGGGAGACTGATAGTGCAAATTAAAGTTCTTGCTACCCAACATTTATCCCCAGTAATAAATGACTCTTGAATAATAATAATAACAATAAAACAGAAATACTTGTTTGCTTTTCCCCCCAACATGCAGACTTCTAAAACAAATGGGATGGGGGGTTGCTTTAAATCTGTCTTCCCCTCTTCTGGGATTTAGGTTATTTTTCTCCAGCTAAGTCCTGCCCCAACAGAAACTTCTCAACATTTCAATAATTTCATTCCTCTCCAAGAGAGGAGAAAAGGGGACCTGGAAGAGCAAGATGAGTTTTGTTCAGTGGAGAAAATGGGAGTGCTTATCTCTCCTGTAATTTCCAACCTATCAGTTAATTTGAATTAAGGGGTGCTGATGGTAGGGGGAACAAGCAGGTAGTTTAAAATAAACCACTCTAAAAAACAAATGAAAGGACAAGCTAAGGTAAAGTTCTATGAGTGGGGAAAAAGGCTTATTTGGAAATAGTCTGCTTTCTAGATCTTAGACATAAGAGCAAAAATAAAAAGAGGAAATCCTTAAGATTGTTCTCCTAAAATATTTATTTCGAAGCCCCTAAATCCTGCCCTTTAGTCAGCTCAGAGACTGTGCCTCTCCCTAAAGACTCTCACCCCACGGGGACCAGGCCACAGTCGTGTAGGCTAGGCCACTGGAAAACTTGGATTCCACCTAAACAAGCAGCCAGCCTGCCACCCACCCCCTTTACTGCTGTGCCCCACTCACTTCCCGGTGTTGGAGACCAGCCATTGGAGTCTCACTGGAACGGAGGAAATAAATCAAAGAGGATATGAATGGGGTAGAGGTGAGATTTAGAGGGAAGAATTAAATACACAGAACAACTAGCTTCGTTGCCTAGAATTTCACCTTCCGGTTCATTTGGTTTTCGTTTTTTTGACTCAGTTCGTGTGTGTCAGGTTGGGGCGGTCATAATAACGGTGTTGCTCTTTTTTCACTTCCTTTGGGGGGAAATGAAGCTACAGATTATGGGTCCCCAGAGTTAACTTTCTAAAGCATTTTTCTTTGCTTTTGTTCTGTTTTAGTTTGTCTTTATTTGTGCAGTTTTTGGTGGTTGGTAGGTCTGTTTTTGTACATTGTTCCTTGGTCCCCAGGAGATTTTGATAAGTGTCTCTGGTCAAAAAGTCCATTTCCCTACCCTTCCCGTTTGTCCCCCCACCCTACCCCCCAGAACCATCCTGCTCCTTGAAACCCCTGCTCCAGTCTCCGCTTTCCTTCCCCCCACTCCCCGCTCTCCCAAGTGCTCCCCCCTTCGCCCCCGCCGTGCTCGCCTTTCTCCACACCCAGCACCCGCGTCCTCTAGGCTGGGGACTGGAAGGGCAGGAAGAGCAGAGAGGGGCCGAAGGAAAGAGCTGGAGGAGGGACTCCCTAAATGCAAGCAGGTAACGGACACTCCAAACCCGGGAGGAGGCAGGCAGAGGAAAGCCGCCCTCCCAAATGCCTCCTCTGCTCCCCGCTCTGTCCGGCACCTCCCAACCCCCTCAGTAAGTGGCGGAGAATTTCATCCGCTTCTGCTTCTGTCTCTGGTTGCAAAACCACACCCGCACCACGTTCTTTTTGAGGTCCAGTTTCTCGGCGATGGCGGCGATCTTCTCGGACGAGGGCCGAGGCTGTACGGCGAAGTAGGCCTCGAGGGAGCGCTTCTCGGGCGCGGCGATGGAAGTCCGCTTGCGCTTCTTCTCGCCGCCGTTGAAGAGCTCGGGCTTGTTCATTTTCTCGCGCTGCGCGCCCTCGGCCTCCTCGAGCCACGCCTGCAGGATGGGCTTGAGCGCGATCATGTTGTTGTGCGAGAGCGTGAGCGACTCGAACCTGCAGATGGTGCTCTGGCTGAGCGAGCCCACGCCCGGGATCTTGAGGTTGGCCAGCGCCGAGCCCACGTCGGCCTGCGTCACGCCCAGCTTGATGCGCCGCTGCTTGAAGCGCTCGGCGAACGCCTCGAGCTCGCGCGGGTCCGTGTCCGAGTCGCAGATGGACGCCAGGCCGGCCGCGCCCACCACGGCCGCCGCCGCCGACGCCGCGCGCACTGCCCCGGCGCCGCCGCCGCCGCCGCCGCCGCCGCGCCGTGGTGCGCTGCCGCCGCACCAGCCCGGGGTGCGGCAGCCCGGACGGCATGTTCATGGCGGCCGCCGCCGCCGGGTGCGACAGGTGGCCCAGGCCGTGCATGTGCGGGTGCGGGTGCGCCGAACCGCCCAGCAGCCCGCTGCCGGGCGCCGCCGCCGCCCCCCGGGCACCGCCACCACCGCCGCCCCGGGCCGCCGCCCGGCCGCCGCCGCCCCGGGCCGCCGCCGCCCCGGCCGTCGTGGGCCCGCCGCCGCCGCCCGCGCGCCCGCGCCGCCCGCGCCATGAGCGCGAGCGACGGCGACGAGATGTGGTCCAGCAGGTCGCCGGGCTCGAGCGCTTGGTGGTGGTGGTGGTGGTGGTGGTGGTGCGCCAGCGGCACGGTGGACGTGGACGTGCAGGGCACGCTGTTCATCGTGTGGTACGTGGCGTCCGGCTTGAAAGGATGGCTCTTGCCCTGGGACACGGCGATGTCCACGGCCGCCAGCGCCTCGGCCCGCGCCAGCAGCGTCTCGTCCAGGCTGGCGAAGAGGTTGCTCTGCAGCTGCAGGCGACACAAACCAAACAAAAACCCACAAAACCAAAAGAGCAAAAACAAAACAACAACAAAAGAAGCACAAACAAGCCGGAAAGCATAACGTGCAAAGGGCAAACACAAAGCAACCAAAATAACAACAAGAGGGGTGGAGGCAGTGGAGAGCGGGAAAGACAGGATGGGGGGACACGTTGGCGACAAGGCAGGGGGACAGACGAGGAGGGACGGGAGCGTGGAGAGGGAGAAGTAGGGGGAGAAGGGGACACAGGAATACATTCCGTGAACGGGGGTAGGAGACGAAAAAGGAGGGGGGAAAGAAGAAGAAGAAATGGAAATGTAACTCGCAGCTGGGGACCCGTGTCACACACCCGAGCACGCACAGAGACCGAGGCGAGCAATTAACAGAGAAAGTGGAGGGAAGTCGAGAGTCCTGGCCCCAGCGCTCCCCACTCCCGACCGCAGGCGCCCGACACGGAGGCAGAGGCGGACGGGAACACATTAAGCGCCGCTGTACACAACGTGCCTCGCAGCGGGATTCCTCTAAACACCCCTGCCCGCAGAGCCCCGCACCGGGACCTGCACACACCAGCACCCGACATGCAGCGTCTCGGAGACAGGGAGGGGGCGGGCGCGCGGGCCGGGGCCGCGGGCGTGGGGCGCTTACCGGCGGCGTGGGCAGGCAGGCCCGCCGGATGGCCTCGGAGCTGGAGTGCAGCGACGGGTACTTGTGCTCAGGGAGGGTGGGATGCATGGCAAAGTGAGGCTGCTTGCTGTTCATGGACATCATCTTGACGGCTTGGCATGTATATCCACAAACACTCCGAAAGTCCGCGGGAAAGTGCGTACGCCGGCTCCCCCGGCCTTCCTTCCGAGGCTGCAGCCGCGGCGGTGGCGGCTGCTGGCGGCGATCGCACTGCGGGCTGCTGCTGCTGCTCCAGCTGCCGCCCCGCGCTCCCTTCGACCGCGCAGAGCGCCGCGCGCCGGCCTCGCGGTCCCGCTTCTCCGAGAGCTCTAGCCCTGCGCGCCGACGGGATGCACTCCTCTTACACCTGAGCCCCAATTCTCGCGGCCGGCCCCGGGAGCTCTCGCGAGAGCTCGCAGCCCCGCCGCGCTGACAGGCATCAGCTGTCTCCGTCTGTCTGGCGCGCGCTCTCCCTGTCGGCGGCGCCGTGCGTCTGCGCGCGCGCGCGCGCCTGTCCGGCCGCGACCGGCGCGTGGGAGCCGCTCTTATAGTGACCACCAGCAAGGACAGCGCAGGTGATGCACCTGTAGCTGCCCGGGCATGCGCACTGCACGCCTCACCTTTCCCACCGCGGTCTGGCAAGATCAGAAGGGCCAGCTATTGTCTAAGGGTAAGGCACCTTTTAGTGGAAGAAAGACGAGATGCACGCACGCCCCTATGTGATTTTTCCCCCCTCGTCGCAAGCCCTGAATATATGCGCATTACTTAGGCACACTTCCTCTCTGGGATGCCTAACAAGCTGTTATATAATGTATACAGCTGGGCATTTGTATGTTAAATTATTCCCGCGCATTCCTCTGTATACAGTATAAATAACAACACAGAAATGCAGAAGGTGCTGTCTTCTGCTGCAAGAACCTGTTTCTTTTAAGGTTTATAAATAGGTTCCTGGAGAATAATCGCGGTGACAGACATTTGTTTGAAGCAGTCAGACGCTATTGATTTCCATATAATTTAATTTCCTCCGCATACTTTTTTGTTGTTGTTGTGAATATAACTGTGTCAGGCACCGCCAGTGACAGCCACTTAGGAGCCACAAGGAGCGTGTGCTTTCTACTCGGGAAAGGCTGTTGAAATGAAATTGTGCATTTCTCTTATTGTTTGTCTCCTTTAACCGTGTACAAACCCACGTTTCAAACGAGCTCAGGGTGATCTGAGGCTTCTAGCAATCAAAAGGAAAAAATAGTTAACAGGGTGTAGTTGGGATCTTTTCCTCATCTCAGCACACACACACACACACACACACACACACACACACACACACACACTCTCTCTCTCTCTCTTTATACTGGAAACTCCAGAAAAAGAAACCCGCTTCAGAGAAAAGGGAATCAGACGTTGAAAAGCGAACTTTCTTTTCCCTTTCATTGTTTTGGCTTTTTGCTTCTTATCTCTGCTTTGCTGATATATTTTTTTCTTCATAGGAGGCAGGATCAAGCTAATACATAGAAAAGCTTGATTCAGAATATTAATTCAAATCAGTTTGAAAAAATAGCCACAAGCTCAGGACTGGCCTTTAAATTTTCATTTTTATTTAATTTTATTTTTTACTTACTGTGAAATCAAGACACATGAAGACAAATAAATCAATTAGCTAACCTGTTATAAGGCCCTTATGTGGCAGGCAGATCAAGGGCCTCCCCAGGGAGCCACAGTTCAGGTGCCCGAGTCTCCAGGGATGCAGTGCTTGCCTGGGGTGATAATAACAGCCCAGATGTTATCACATCTGCAGCAAGAGAGCTGGAGAGCGGCAAGGCACTGCTTATGGGAAGTAGAGATCAGATAAATAATCTTCCTGGTCTCTCCCACACCAAGGAGGTCTGTATTTCACCAAAGAGCAGATCTCATTTCTATAAACCTAAATTTGCGTTCCCATGGATTTTATCTTCCCTCTGCACAAACGCATGTGTATTTAGCATACCCACTCACCTACTCAGATTCCAAGAAGAGCCCACAGGCGTCACCGTGGCTTTTTCTTTCTTTTCTTTTCTGTCCCCTACCCCCTCCCTTCCTTCTAGCTCCAGAGGGAAGTGAGAAGGATGTTCACTTGCTGGTGAGAGAGGGAGCCGAGTCTCCATCCATTATGCGGTCCCCTGGGAGTGCTAAATGCAACTTTATCTCAACGGGGAATGGACGATGAGCAAGACGTCGCTGGAGGGAAAGAGTGAGTCCTCTGGTAGTCGTCTCACCGGGTGTCCAAGCTTAACCTAATCCTTCCTGACACCCATGGCAGCAGTTCCCTGTAGTCTCCCTTGGGGGTGGGGGTGGGGAGGAAGAGCCCCAGCAGAGGGCTAGAGCCTGGAGCCTGTCCTCCCTTCCTCAGGAAACAGGCCTTTAGGGACCCCATGGGTACTGGGCAGACAGAAAGTCAACTAGTACAGGTTTATGTCAGGTGGACATGCAGAGAGTGAAGGGAGTTCCTGAGTACCCAAAAGGGCACCTCAGTTTACCCTCTGACCCTGGAGAGCTTCCAGTAAATCCTGTGAGGAGATCAGCCTAGCCTGAAGTCAGGAGTTTACCATTCTGCAAAGATTCCCTTCCCAGCTCACTTCTGTTTGGACACAGGAGTACCCAACTTCCAGGTGAGAGCAAACCTTTGCCCAGAATATCAGGCCTTTTGCTGGGGCTAGAAATATGAGGGCTGTGGTTACACTCCTTCTTCTACTCCTTGGATTGAAAGCCTATCTAAGGCACATTTGTCTTGCACAATAGCAGCTACACAATGCTTGTCACATAGTAAAAGTGTCCCCATCAAACAATACATATGTGTAGAAAGGAAGAAAGGCCAATTGGGGAGGGGCAGGAGAAGAAGGCGGAGTGGGTTCAACAAGCCAGGGCTGATTGGGGATTGCAGGAGGATCCCTGAAGGGGTCTCCTCTCTCCTTAAAAGGAGGTGGGGATTGGGCAGCAGGGGGTATGTGCTTTCTCCGAGCAGAGCTGTAAATCTTAATCCCAGCCAGTTCTTTTACAGAAGCCAATTATTCACCCCACCCTAATATACTTGCTACCTTTTATCTTCCTTCCTCAAGTGCTTGCTGAGCACTATTCTGGGCCAGTGCTAGGCACTGGAGGTAAAACAGGTCTGAAATATGAGTATCTGCCCTCCAGGAGGTGACAATCTATGTGTATGGGGCAGCCACAGGTAAAAGGCATTCATGGTGCAGGGATAACAGGTGTGATGAGAGTTGTACAGAAATATGGGATGGAGTGATGCTTGGAGACTTAACCTGCCCACATCTCTGTTGGGCCTCAGCCCCAGGCTAAAGAGTGGGGCCCACCAGCGGATCTGCAGGCAGTTCCTTGGACCATATCAAGCCTCTCCCTACTTACCTCACGAGGAAGGAAAAGGGTGATAAAGGAAAGGGTGGTGGGCCCAGGCTCAGCTCACCCATATGTCACTGCTTTGTTTTCCTGGTTTGGCAACTGCTGTAACTAGTTGGCCCCTGCCTGTGCTAATGATGCCCACATGGGGTCTGAGCCTTGGCATAGATTCCTGGGCAATTTTTTTTCTCCTTCTTATTTAATGACCAACACAGCTTACACCCCCACGCCCCCCAATCTCATAGCTTTGCATTTTATCAAGAGCGGGATAATGAATGCACAGCTATTGATTTCCAAGGAATTTCCGCCCCTAGGGACAGGGAGTCTATCATCTGGATCAGAGACACATTTCTTTCCCTCATTAATTAATTTTCTCCTCCCCCTTTGGCAGGCCTCACTTCACATTTCCTTTGGCAGCGCCCCTTTCCCGAGCGAGGGGAACACATATCCGTTGGCTGCAGTGAGGACCAGCGGGAGAGGCTCTGTGCGAGGGCCCACGCTGTCAGGGCTGAACTCTCGTTGCCTTTGACCTGTCCTCCCACCCCGCCACCTCCAGCTCACCGCCTGACAGCTGCTGCCCACTTGGGCACTGCCTTCCTCCTTCCGGGTGCGGGAAAGTTAGTATTTAACTCGGCAGCCACTATCTCGAGGTCGAACCAGACTTACTTGTCCCGGTGTAGGGACCCCAGATGGCTCTGGGGAATGCTGACGTAAATTCGTGGAGGTTGTGCGCGTAGAAGGGGCAGGAAAAGGGATCGGGCCTCGCGCTCCTGCCAGAACCAGGGTCCTGGCCCCACCTGCAGGCTCCGCCACCTCGGTCCGGCGGCCGAAGCCGGAGCTCTGCCCTTCGCAGCCACGTTCCAGGCAGGCAGTTAGTTGCCCAGTTTGAAACGAGGCGCTTTTCGCGGTACAGCCAGGGTCCTGTATTCGGGAGAAGCCCCCAGGGCCCAGAGTCGGCGGGCTTTAGAGGCCACTTGGGTTGTTTTAAGCTCAGTGGCAAGGGGCAGGCAGGGGAGGAACAGGCCCAGGGAGGGGTTTCTGGTCTCGAAACACCCCCACACCTGGGCTGTCCGGCGCCCTCCGAGTCCGACCCCGTCTGTCCGAAGGGTGGAATGGAGGAAGGAATGGGGAAGGGAAAGCAGCACTCTCAGTTTCCCTTTGGGCCACATTCCCAGGGCCATGCCTGGGCTGCTTTGATCCCCAGTCTCTCTTATTGCTACTCGTTGCATCTTGGTCCTGTGTCTCCCTCGGTGACGGAGGGGCTACTGGGCTCCTCGTCGGCCCCACTGGGGACCCTGGGACCTCCTCTCGCAGCCCCGTACGCGGCAGAGCCGACCCCTCCCAGTCGTGTCCTCGGCGGCCGGCCGGGCCCAGCCCAGCCCTGAGGCTCGATTCCCTGGCTGTGCTGTCGCTCGATAAGGCTCGGAGATTTCCTGGAGCCGTCAGTGCCCTCTCTCTACTGCGCACTGCCTAGCTCCCGCAGCCGCTCGCCTGCCTCGGTACCCAAGGTCCGGCTGGGTGAGATATGGGGGCCCGTCGTGATCGATGATTTCCTCTTATAAGGTTCTCAACTCTGCATTCAGACTGGGCTCCAGCTGGGACCAGCAGAGGAGATTCTCAAGTAAACCAGTGAAATACAGTTTTCTTTCTTTCGGTTGTTTAATTTAAATGCAACTTCCCTTGGGGACATTTTCCTGGACGTTAACCGCCCCACCCTGAGGTGTGGCTGATGACCTAGCGACCCAGATGGT